GAGGGGGTGCGAGTGCAGGGAATACAGCGGAACACGGCCGAATACAGTTGAATGCGAGTCCTCTCGAGTGTTGGTTGGGGTACATGAACACGTACTCCGCTTCTAGGGCCCGAGATATGGGGAGATATGGGGAGAGATTCCGCTTCTAGGCTCGTGTACCGCCGCACCGAGCCTCGCCTCGGCTGCCGTGGCCCGCGTGGCTGGGTCCGCGAGCTTGGTGCGCTGCACCGCGGCTTGGAGCCGCAGGTGGCCTTGCTCTCCTCGCATCCCGTCACGCAGCTGCGAGTCGAGCAGCTGCTGCTGTGACACCGAGCCGCGCTGGCCCTCACGTTCAAGCGGCGGCCTGAGCGCAGCGCCCGGAGGGTCGTGAGGTGGCGGGCTGCGGGACGGGTGCGGCATGCTGCACGGGCGACACGCCCGCGCTGGAACGGCTGGCGCCCTGCGCCGTCCGACTCCTGCTCGAAGATCCGGTCGAGCAGGCGGCCTAAGAGAGGAGGCGAGGCGGCGTGCGCTTTTCGCTGTCGCAGGCTGCGAGGCGTGCGTCGTGCTTACCACCCCGCGCGTCGTCGGGAGCCGAGTGAGCATACGCATCCACCTCGATGCTGCCGTAGTCGAGCGCGCGCACGACTCGTTTGGCGCTCCCATGCTTCCACGGGTTTGGCGAGTTGCCAGCGGACCAGCCGAGGTCGCGGAGCGTCGAGCGGTGGCGGCCCATCTGGAATCCGACGACCCTGAGCGGTGGCGGCAGTGGTGGGTGAGATGACAGCTTTGGGTAGATCAGCCGGGTGTGTGACGCCGACGAACCTGCGAGAACGCGAAAAGCTGAGTCGCGAGATGTGCAAGTCAAAGAGCTGGATCGGCGCGAAAAAGAATTCAAGCGCGCTCGACCATTGTCGCGAGGCGCAACGCCGCCATCTTCGACTACAACGCGTGGCCGAAGATGGGCGGCGAGATGCCGCGGGCGCCTCGAGAGCAGTATGAGTAGGGACGGGCGAGGGAGGAGGGGCGCTGACCACGGGCGACTACGAGTCGAAGGTTCGAGGACGACTACTCGCCGCCTGGGTCGTTTGGGGCGCGCGGCTCCGTCGAGGACCGGGCGCGCCCCTTACCCGGCGCGGCGTAGGTCCCACTCTGACGTATAGAGGGGAGGCACGGACAACGGCCCAATCCATCAATTCCACTCATCTTCCGGTGCTTGGCCCCGTGCAACAGCGGTCCGGCAGGCTGCCCCCAAGGCCCCCCGGGCCGCTGCGGGTTTGGGAGTTATGCTTAGGCACAGCTTCGGCGATGGCAGCCCCTCTCTGGGGCTTGCATAGGCGGGGAGTCTCCCCCGCTGGTCTCCTCCTTCCCATTTTTTCTTTTCTTTTGAGAGCAGGACGCCGGGTTTGTCTTGTATGTGCATGTCGGGCCTGGGTGTGTGTGAGGGGCAGAGGGGCGGGAGCGTGCGGGGCAGAGGCCCAACGTCGGGCGGCTTGTCGGGGTCCGGAGCATTCGAGGGGGGAACGAGGAGGGGAGAATGGGCGGTCGGCGTCGGGGTAGAGCAACAGGCGCGTACGGGGTAGCCGTCACTCTCCCGCCTCAAAAGGGCGGGGCTGTCCCGGAAAGTGAGAGACGCCGGGCAGCGTGGCGCATTACTGAACCCTCCCATACGTGCTCGTACTCCTCCTTCGCTGTCCCATCTCCTCATCTCTTTCCCGCCTGGGCGGGGCGGTGGGCGGGCGCGCGGTGCGGCATGGCGTGTGCGTGTGCGTGACTGCAACGGAGGACCGCTCGCAGAGGACCATTGGGTTTGTACTATTAACAACGAAGGCGCTCTCAAAAAAAAAGAATTCAACAAGAACTCTCTCGCACAGCACACACGTTCGACACAGAATTTTACGCTGGCGAGCTCGATAGACTCGAGGGGCCAGGATACGCCGCGAGGAGGACGGAGTTGCGCCGAAAGGCGAAAGAAGCCGCGAGAACAAGGGACCGGCAGGCGGCGGCGTCACAGGACGAGGCAGAAGGGAACGACGCGACAGAGGAGGAAATGACAAGGGAGATAACGACGAGAGTGGGACGACCGCGAGGTGGCATGAAGGTTGCAGCGAGAAGCGGCGAGAGACTGCGAAGAGAGATAGGAAGAGGCAGACTCCCTAGGGTGGGCGACGGCTAGCGCACCACACACCTCTCCTTAAAATCCCTGTGTGGTGGCGGCGTGCCGTCCTCCCATCCCTCCCTTGGGTTGTCTGTTTTTCTTTCTTTCTTTTTAGCCTAGATACAGGATCATCGGCGTTTTGGTGTTGGCGACAAGTAGCGTTCGGCATTGCGTTTTTTTGAAGAAATGGCTCGCTGCGGGACGAAGAATCGGCGAGGGACTGCGGAGAGAGATACATGTGCATGTAGGTAGGAAGAGGAAGGGCGTCGCCCACCCTTGCACCTTAAAGAGAGAAAAGTAGGTAGAGCCAGTCCCCATCTCCCCAACCTCGAGCTCCGGGAGGTGCGCGTCGGCGATGACGCAGTCGATGCCGTCGCAAGTCGGGCCCCAGACAGTGCACGCCGCCACGCCCTCCCGCCCGCCGCCTCACTGCCGCCACCCTCGCCGCCGCCGCCGCCGCCCGCGCCGCCGCCGCCCGCGCCGCCGCCGCCCGCGCCGCCGCCGCCCTCGCCCCGCGCCTACCTGCATTTTTCTGGCAGCAAACGTCTCCCCATCGACGCGGACCTCGAGCTTTGAGCATGCTGAAGACACGTCACACGAGTTTCGCCGATCTTGACCATGCTCAAGAGCGACGGCACCGGCACCAGTGGCGCGCAAGGCGCGGCGGGAGGCCACGGCGGCGGAGGCGCGCCGAGGGGGTGGGTGCAAGCGGTGGCGGGGGCGGCGGGGGCGGGGATGGCGGCGGCTGGGATCGCAGTGGAGGCGGCGGCTGCGCTGGTAGCGCTGACATGCCAAAAGACACCTCGCAGCGCGCGTGACGTGACCGAAGCGGCACGCCTCGTCGCCGCGAGAGCAGCCGGTCGACGTCGGCACCAAGCGCGCGGCCGCCGGGCGCCTCCGAACCGACACAGGGGCGCCGCGGCAGTAGAGAGCACTCCACGAAGGCCCCCGCACGGGGGGTCCCGGCCGACGTCATGATCGTCCGGACGCGGCCCTCCGTACACGGAAACAGGATACTG